GTTCTGTCTAGAAGCATGCCTGCACACCAGAAGAGAGCACCAGGTCTCATTATAGATGGTTGTGAGCCACCATGTGGTTGCTGGGAATTGAACTCAGGACCTCTGGAAGAGCAGCCAGTGCTCTTAACCTCTGAGCCATCTCTCCAGCCCTTATGTGTCTTTTCTAAACACCTGCTGTATACACCGCTCTCTCCCAATGGCCCTCACTGCTGTCACCTAAACGCCAGGGCTCCTCCTGTCCTGGCCATCCTTCTCACAGACACCTCTCCCGTAGCTGCCATTTCTGTGTTCAAAGTTCTCCCCCAACCCTATCTCTCCAGCCCACAGCTTTGATCTGAGCGTCAGACATACAGGAAGTCCACCTGGATGGCTGACAGCCTCATATAGAGCAAGACCGGACTCATCATTCAGCCCCTCTCTCTCCTCTGTGGTTCTCCACCTCAGCCAGCAGCTCCTCATCCTCTGGTCACCTGGGCCCATGCATTCAAAAGCGATTCAGTGACCCAGTTTTTTTTCCTGGGCACCCCAACAATCGCAGCTCTCAACAGACTTCTAGTAATCAAAAGCTATTATCTGATTCAGCAAAGCCCTACACGCTGCTGAGGGAGCGGAATTCTATCACGTGTGGGAAGAAGTTTCTCTTTAATGAATTAATTTGCATAAAAAGTGAGGCACTGTTTCAGAGAAGATCACATCTCAGAGTTAAATGGATGGGGAAAGAGCTTGGATTGGGAAATAACTCCATTCATCACATCGTGGCTGAACTGTTAGCACAGATTTAAAAACACACACAAGAAGAGAAAGGTGGGTGGGGCACATGTCTGTAATCCCAGCACTTGGGAGGGGGAGGCAAGAGGCTAGCCTGGGCTACATAAGACCTGATCTCAAAATAAAAAAAATAAAAAAAAAACACCAATGAAAGGGGGTAGACGAGGAGAAAAGGGGAGTATGTAAAGCTATTTGTGACGAGGGGCACTTGAGCCAGCCTGGGGTGGGTGGGATGGGGAGGAAAGCCAAGAAACTCAGCAAAAGGCTGGGTGTGGTGGCGCACACCTTCAATCCCAGCACTCAGGAGGCAGAAGCAGGAGGAGCCACAGAGTTGGAGGCCAGCCAAGGCTGCATAGCAACACTGTCTCCAAAACAAAGAGAAAAAAAAAACAAAACAATGAAAGTATCTTATGAACATCAAAATCAGACAGTGTGGTGCGCGAATACAATCCCAGATCTGGGGACACGAGGTTCGAGGGCCAAAGTAAATTCAAGGCCAGCCTGGGCTACATAGTGAATCTCAGACCAACTAAGGCTCAGCAGAGAGAACCTGTCCCCAAGCAAACAGAAAGGATCTTATCCGGGACTGTTTGCTATACGGAAAGCTGGGAATGGTGGTGCAACCCTAGCACCCAAAAGGCTGAGGCAGGAGAACTGCTTGAATCCAAAGTCAGCCAGGGCTCCACAGCAAGACCCTATCTCAAAAGTAAAAATACCTCAATGGAGTTCACGATGAGTATGTTCTATTTGTTTGTGGTTTGGTTTTTTGAGACACGGTCTCTCTATGCATCCCTGGCTGGCCTGGAACTCGCTCTGTAGACCACACTGGCCTCAAACTCAGAGATCCGCTTGCCTCTGCCTCCCAATTGCTGGGATTAAAGGCGTGCGCCACCATGTCCAGCTGAGTATGTATGTATTTTAACATACGTAAGTGTGTATGAATTTCACAAGTGATTTATCACTCGCACCCTTTCATATAGTAAGTCACAGGAATGCAGGTTCCCATTCTGGAACATACTCCAGCTTGGCAATGCGCTCCTGTGGTCACATGTAGATCTCTGTGTGCCTTTCCTTTACAACGTTTGTAGATGGTATCTGTAAACTCAGCCAGACAAAACAGACCTGCCGCACAGCGAGCTCTTCATCTCCGCTAAACCCTAAACCAAGGAGGTGAAACGGAGCTGTTCATGAGTGAGGAAGGAGAGAGAGGAGGAAGGAAGGGACGAAGGAAGGAAGGAAGGACCTCAGGAGGCTGCAGCTGTGTTTGGAATGACCGAGGAATAAGACTGAGGGAGGCGCAGGCAGGCCCGGATCCGGATGGCTTCCAGCCTGAGACTCACCTTCTCATAGTAGCGGATCTCATACTCTGTGCCGTTGCCTCCGGGAGCTCCAGCAGGGACAGGCTCCCGCCACGACAGGGACACGCTCTGGGGCTCCACGCGGTCCCTGCGGATCTCATCCTCCTCCCAGGTTGCTGAAAGTAAGCAGAGGGGATGCTCCTCCTGGACCCACTGCCCCCCAGATCCAGGTGAAGACAGGGGGGCGGGGCATGCACTTGGGCGCTTTGTTAGATGCGGGCCCGCCCTGTGGGTGGAGATGGGAACTGTTGAGGGGGCCAGAGGGGCAGAGTCTGCGGGGGCCAGAAGCTTAAAAAGAGAGAGTCTCTGGCCAAGGCGACTCCATTGTCTAGTGGCAGGGGAAGTCCTGCTTGCCTTCCCTCCACCCTGTTTCTCCTCTTCCTGCTTGGTTCTAATCCTTCAGCCTTTCTGTGGTTTGAAGACATAATAGAGTGTGTAGCCGAGATTGGCTTGTTCACGGTGGTGTGGCCACAGGCAAGCGAATATTAGAAGAAAATCACTCCCAACATGATAAAAATAATGTGGGACGCCCACAGAGAATATCACACTCAAGAGTGAAAAGACTGGAAACTTTCTCTTTCCTGTCGGGAGAAAAACTGGGATGCCTACTTGCTCTCCACTTTGAGCCCCTATAGTGCTTAAAAACTCTAGCTAGAGTGACCAGAGAAACAAGTAAAAGACGCCCAAACTGGGAAGATGCAAAGGTATCTTTGCTCTGGGGTGACAAGATCTTCACAAGGAAAACCCTATAAAGAGCTCCCAAAGGACTCTCAGAGAACCAATTTCACAACATGAAGAATTGTATATGAAGGGCTTGGAATGAGACTCAACACAGTCAAAGGCTTGGTCAAGTTCACCAGTCAGAGCGGCTGGTGACCAGCAATGTCCTGTACCGGCAAGAGGTCCCTGAAATGGTGCAAAAAGTAGGATGATTCAGGGATACTGGGGAGTTGGGAAAAACAGATATCAGATAACAAAGGGCAGAAGTTGGAGCCGGCACACACACAGCCTGCCCTCCGACAAAGGCTTGAATATAGCTTCCGGTCTCATGCAGTACATGTGTCCAGCTGGTCCTCTCTGCTCTTAAATTCCAGTAATGACTATGGATACAGGAGCTGAAAACCCACAGTTGACAGCTGATTGCTAGAATAGGGGACAGGGATGGAGTATCATATTTTTAACCTCTGTAAAGCCAGTGGGACTGAATGGACCCACATGGCTGTAGTGAACCCCGGGCTACGCTGCCCACAGTGCAGTACTGCCTCCTGGCCTAAAAATAACTTGAAAAATCCTTTAGTCTTTCCCCGGTGCCTGACCCTTTGAAAAAAGCGATGTCTTTGTGAGCTGGACAATGGCATCTTGTCACTCCACGGCACAGCTGCTTCTGAGGGAGTACTTCCCCTGCTCCCAGCAGTGCCTCAGGCTGAATTCACTGGGACCCGGCATAAAAGTGAAAGAACTCAAGAAGCTTCCTAGGAGGTGGAAAAGCCCTTTGTAGACCCCGATGGGGGTTAGAGACAGGGAGAGGCGAGAAATGTCATGTTTGAACTTCGTTAGTCAGGAGCATCAGATAGCCAGGGGATCCACAGTAGGACATGGTTCCGTTTGGGCCCCTCCGAGATACATTAGATGAAAGGTTGACAGACCCCGAGAATGAAGGGCTGGGAAGATGGCTCAGTGGTTAAAGTGTTTGCCATACAAGTGTGGGAATCTGAGTTCAAATGCCCAGAAACCATGTAACACTTTGGTCCTAGAAGCTCTCTGGACAGTTAGCCTGGCTTACAGAGATACACTTTCTCAAACAAGGGAGGTGAGGATGGGCACTAGAGAGTATCCTCTGACCTCCACATGTCATGCACACACACACACACACACACACACACACACTCAACCACTATATATACACATGCAAAAAAAAAAAAAATCTTCCAGGTGGTGGTGGCACATGCATTTAATCCCAGGCAGGTGGATCTCTGAGTTTGAGGCCAGCCTGGTCTTCAGAGCAAGTTCCAGGACAGCCAGGGCTACTCAGAAAAACCGGTCTTCAAAAACGAAAAACCAAACACACACACACACACACACACACACACACACACACACACACACACACAGTATCAGAGTCATGGCAACTGACTTGTAATCACACCTGTAATCTCCTAGCACCTGAAGCAGGAGGATTGCTATGAATTTAAGTCAAGTCTGGACTGGGCTAGAGAGGTAGCTCAGAGGTTAAGAACACTGGCTGCT